TTGGTGTTTCTTTTGATGATTCTGCAGGAAAAAGAAGTATCCCATCCACAGTCACGACCCACTATGCTGATGTTCCTCACTTCCTTGGAAGTGTTCATACATCTACTGCTTACAAACCACTATGGATGAGGAGACATTCTCCTCCAAGGCATTCAATGCCACCTTCTGTTCCACCAGCTGTCTGAGCAGCATTCAAAGTCGAGCTAATGACTTTAAACAAGCGCTTAGTGGGAGGCAACCCACTAGTAAGTTTTCTTTTTCGTATATTAGTTTAGTTTTCTATTACATAGCTAAAAAAAAACCCAAAAACATGAGAAAAATCAAAAAAAAAATAAAAAGAAGAGTCACTTTGTTCAGTTTGCTTGGATGATATCTTGTGAACTTGTTGGACCATGGACTATGCTTTGTTTGGATGTTTTGATGTGTGTTTTGAGTGCTCTTACAGTTTGACTTCAGAGTACACATGATGGCATAGCATTTAAACATCCAACATGTCGATTTCTGAAGTATCAGAGATGGTGACGCTCGTCACCAGGTCCTTTGCGAGGTACCACTTTTCCACCTTGGTTTTACACGTTCTCATGCTTCATTTTGACCAACTCTTGGCTTAATAACACTGGGGACAGTGTTGTTTAAGTCTGGGGGAGGTGGTTACTGACGTTGTGTGCTTTGTGTCATGTTTATAGAGTCTTAAAAGTTGAGTCAAAAACCTGTTTTTCTAGAGTCAAAATTTTGAAACTGTCAGTTTTTCTTGGAACTAACCATAGGACGTTTTTGCTGATAAGAACCATTGCCACAATAGTTGATTACAAGTCTCACTAAGTTGAAAGTCATAGGTAGATCAGTCTAGCAATGAAGGTTTAGGTTCTTAGAGAATCTGGAAAATTTACTGTTAGCTCCACCTTAATGAACTTTAAACTTCTTGTCTTGGTGATTGATTCTTATTTATCTTGATTCTCTCTTTAAGCACTGACAATAAGGTTAAGATACAGTCTCTCTTTGATCTTCCCTGATGTAGTTTTTAAAAGAAATTAAGTCCAAAGAATGGTGCATTCATGACCCTGTCTCCTCACAAGGAACAACAGTAGTGAACACATTCAAGAACCTGTCTCCTCACAAGGAACACAAGTATTGAGTAGCACCATTTCTTAGACTGAAAAAGTTGAGAAAAAGAAGTGAAAAATCGAAAATATCCTAAGGAAAAAGATAAAGAGAAGAGAAAATAGGAGAGCTGTGTTGATATCTATTTGTTAAGTTGTTAGGAAGAGAAAAGAATCTGCAAAGTGATTAAGATGATAGAGTCTTGATGAGATTTCACACTTAGATAAAAATAAGGAGTTAACAGTAGAAATTTCGGATTTCTTGAAAGGGTTTGGACTGGATTTGAGAGATTTGCTAAGCTTGTGATGATTAGACTGAAATTTGATTTTGTGTTGACTATGTGGCATGTGGATTCGAAAGCTCTAGCTAGTGTGGTGTTCCCGATGACTGACTGACTGTTTCTTGTTTTCAAACCTCGACCTTATTCTTTGTCTAATGTTTGCTTGAGGGCAAGCAAAAGCTAAGTCTGGGGGAGTTGATATATCATGGTTTTTATAGTTTTTAACCATGATATAAGTCCTTTTTATTGAGTCTTTTTGGTCTTTTTAGAGTCTTAGAAGAGTCTTTGCAGGTTAAAGCATGTCTGGAGCATAATTGGAGATTTTGAAACCTTTTGGAGCATTCTGAGTTGAAGCCACGAAGTACCTAGCTCGAAGAGGAAAGTATGCATATGGGTGACGCTCGTCACCACTTTTGATGACGCTCGTCACCCAGAAAGGAAGGGGTCGTGGCCTGTTTTAAAAAGATTGGGAAGAAATTGCAGTTTTGGCCCAAAAGTTCCAGTATTTGCAAAAAGACCCCAGATCGTGTTTTAGCTTGTATATTAGGTTTTTCAGCCATTCTTTTGGCAGATATCTTGTATCTTATTATTTTTGAGAGCTTTAGAGAGAGATTTGTAGCAGAGCTTTTGGAGAGACAAATCAGACTCCTTCAGAGCAGATTTCGAACTCCTTTATTTCTACTTCTTATTTCTTTTATGCAATCTATTCTTTTCATGATGTTTTCTCAAATCATCATGTCTGAGTAGTTTGTTAGTTAAGTTAGGGCTTTTCAAAGGTTGAAGAAGAGTTTGTAGAATTGCTAAAAACTTATAGGAAATTCATTGGTTCTTCATCTGTGCTTGCATTCATATCGATTTCTTAGACACATCATCTGGATTTCGAAACCCTAGGTTTTTGATAGATGTGAGAGCATTATTATTCACCTTAACTAGTATTAGATGAGCAAAACGCCCTAGTACAAAGAGATTTGGCTTAGGAGTTTTGTGAACAATTGAACCTGATCATTACTGCATGTTTAGGTTGTTAGGGTTTGCAAAGAGATTTGAAACTCTGTGACTTAGACATAGATAACTTCTGCAATGAGAATTGATTAGTTATATCTTTGCGATTCATGTTCAAGACGGTTTTAATTCATTCCTGATTGCATGCATTCTACACTCTCGGATTCAACCTGCGAACTGTCCTGACTTAGCGCCTTTAGCCTTCTGAACTTTAAGAACAAGCATAAAAACGCCCTCTTGCATTTATTTTACTGTTTTGCATTACATTCATTATTTATCGCTTAGCTTAATCTGAATCTATAATCACTAGTGTGGTTTACATATACTCCTTTGGGATTCGATAACCCCTTGTACTACAACTGCTTTTGCTGTGCACTTGCAGTAGTTTTATTTGGGTAAAACCTGACCCTATCATGTATCTTTTCGTAACATAACATAGAGTAAAATATAGAGATTAATCATTGAATTCCTTGTATGTATTTTATTCTAGAGTATGTATAGTAATCTATATAATTATTTATAATTTAGAGTACTCAAGTTTATAGTTATTATCAATAATCGTTCCAGAGTATGTATTTTATATATAATTTATAGCTCTGAAACTAACAACAATGATATGATGAATGTAAAGATTAATCATTGTATACAATATGAAATCACCAATGAATAAATGAATATTCATAACAAAGTCAGCAATAACAACTCTTTATATATAACACTATAAATAATTTTATTGCAGTAATTCTAAATGTTTGAAATTTAATAAACTATGAGAAAGTGTCTATGCTGTAACCTCAGCGATTGAACTTCTAAACTCATGGACTTCTGTAAAAGGTGGATTGATAAAAACTTGTGTACAATTACACGCTGTTGTTACAATCCAAAAATCTGCGCATAATAGAACAAATATTTTAGTTACTCTATAAACATTCAGTTATAGTTAATTTTTGAAACATCGTGAGTTGATGATAACCTTTGTGAAATTCAATTCTCGCAAATCATATGACACAAATAATGTTATCTCTATGGCTACTTCTAAACGAAGAAAGAAACTTTGAAGCATAGTTCCCTGTTAAACGACATGGTATATGATAATTCCTGTAAACAAATAAATATTAGTGATTTTGTTATATCATATAACACATCCAAATAATATTTAGGAATATTTTTAGGAGTGTACCTAGGGTTTCACCAGATCGAAACATACAACTTTTGATTCCAAAATCATGAAGGAATCTTTACGCTGTAAAAAAATTCCGACGTTTGTAATCCTGCCAATCAGATCTAAACAACATAATAAATATTATTAGATTCTATCAAACATAAGGATTACGAATCATGTGTTGATATATACATACCAACAGATAAATCTGGATCGAGATCTCCATATTTAATATCTTCTAAACAAACAAAAGCGAAATAGCTCGCTGAGATATTATTGTATGTAATATAGCATTCCGTGTGTTCAGTGAATTTGATAACAAACGGATGTGGCACAATTCGGAATGATCTTTCTGCTGGATTCAAAGCAAATTTTTTGATAATGATCCAATTACCCTCCAGTAGAGTATTAGCAAATTCTTTGATATATGCATTCTCAAAAATTGCTTGAATTTTATCACCATGACCAAAAATACAAAATATATTAGTCGGAGAACGATTGTGTATAAGAAGATTAATGTAAAAGTCATAAGAGTCAGCTTACATTTATATCAACTAATATGAGATTGAGGGACTCATTCACCCCGTATATATGATAAAAAAATTTGTAATATCTTCACTTTGACATTCCAAACAAATTTCGAAGGATCCAGCTGTGAAACATTAATCATGAAAAAACTATATGCTCGATGTATAGAAGCAGAAAGAAGATGAGCCATTATTTCAGATTGTCAACGTCTAAATTCAATGATTACGAAAACATCTTATATAGATACACAAATCTTGATAAATATCAGTTTAACATAAACCAAATTTCCTTTTTTCAGACCGCCATAGTATTACATAATTTAGTATTACTCTATAAGAATAAATTATCATAATAAATACTTTATTTCATTTTGCATATATCAACAACATACACAATATATATCTACTTATATAGTTTCGCAATAATGATTAAGAATTACTTTAATCACCGCTGCAGGATTTTTACAAACTTACCTTTTGAGTATTCAATTAAATGTATACTCTTCTTCTTCTGCCATGATGGCAAAAGTTTGATGTGCCTATTCAAGTTGAAACCAATAAGGTTTTAGCTACCGAAACAGTTCTCCAACTCAATGTTGAAACCACGTTAATTAATTAATATTAGCCACAAAGCTTATAGGGTCAAAATACTCAAACCCTCAAATAATCATGGTTCGAATTTTCTTACTGATATATACTTCTTTTGGATAAATATTAACCACAAAGTTTCTAGGAATAGGGACCATGTTTTTCGCTAAATAGTTACTATCATTTTCCAGTCTATTGAATTGCAAAGGATAATGTTTGAACAACACTCAATTTAATTCCTCAAGAAAAACCTTAGAAGCATGATCACCATATCTAATTATATCTTGGGTGCAATATAGTTCAGCCAAAAACACCAGCTGGGGCATAAACCATTAGATTTATTCGGTTAAAGGAGAGACTCGGCAAATCCAATAACATTCGATTTCATTACTCACGAAGAAGTATATACAAAATAACATATTTTATCAGACTCTGTGTGTGCAGTAATTCAACAAAAGACATCATTTGAGGCATAATTCAGATGTTCTAGGTTTATCGATAAAGCGAGAGACTAATCAAATCAAGAACTCTCTAGTTAACTCACACATGAAATCGTAGAAACAACATCTTTTTTCTTTAGAGACCTTGAGCCCACAGCTCCAACCTGTGTTGCTATGACCTGTAACAAAATTATATTGAGACTCGGAGAAGACAAAACTACGACTTGAAAATACCAAACGAAGCTAGCTCTTATGCACTGACAAGGATATGATCTACATATCTACAGAAAGGGGACATCATATTTTCAGGACAAAAAAGGATCCTACCAACAAACTCACTACACATCCTTTCCACTTATCTATCTGCTGAAACATCTATACACACATATCGATAGATAACAAAATGCTTTTAAAACGTGAAAAAACTACCTTTGAATCTCTGCATCACAAGTCCTGTTTCATTTTCTTTGTCATCATTGTGATTTAATCACCGCCTGCAGCATATACGCAAGTTAATTTGAGCATTCACTTATACGTTTCTTCTCATAACTAAAAATTTAGTGTGCCTAGGAACCAATGGGATTTCAGCTACCAAAACAGTTCTCTATACTTCAAATTAAAATAGTTACAACTTCATGGTCTAAATGATACAACCAAACTAACGAACAACCATGGTTCTCTATACTTCAAATTATGCTAAAGTCTAGGAACTGATAGATTATTGATGCATGGATCCTCATATGTCTATATCACCACTCCGCACTATCTACGATGATTCTATCAACACAAAATGAAGTACAAGCATCAAGCAGAGATATGCAGTAAACCAACAGTAGGAATAAAGCAACAATTACATGCTAACGTTCACAAAGATAATCAAAGACAATGGAACAGGGAATTACGATATATGTATCCTCTGAAATCAAAATGCTGCAGCACCATGAAAAAGAAGAAGAAGAAGCTCACTCACCTCCGTGAGAATCCTGGAAGCTTGCTTGAATGAAAATGATGATACATGCCTCTTTGATGGTCTCGACCGGCTTACTCGAGAAACCAAGCTTAGCAGTTGGCAATGGAGTCTTGGACTTTATCTTCACTAATGCAATGTCTGATTGCAAATCAGCGTTCACCACCACACCTTCGAACGTCCTACCATCTTGCAAGGTCACATCAACCTATATAATTCATTCAGCAACCCTAAAACTTCATTAAACATATTCCATCAAGCCAAAATCATTACAAGAACCTAATCTTATCGGCTATAACCTCAGTTTACTAAGTTCCCATAATTCATACCGGAGATACATGAGTTTTGATCATCTTTTAAACAAACGGCACCTCCTCCGCTTCTCCTGTATAACGAATGATATCCTTGACTACACCGGAATCTGCAAGACAACGGTCATATCCTTGGTTACAAGAAAACACAAAACAAAAAAGTTAATTTGAAGAACAAATTGATTATAAAAATCTTGAGCAAAACATAAGAAGGAAATGAAGATAATAAACCTCGTGGTTCCATCGAAAAGAGTTGGTGGATCGGATGTAGCATCAAGCGATGCTGGGCGAGTTTGTACAACACTGTCTCAAAAGAGGATCAAAGGAAACAAAAACATAAAATATATAATGAATTTTCCAAAATCCCAGAAGCCAAACTTTTAGAATTAGCCAAATTCAGTAAAAGCTCCCAACTTGGGGATAAGAACAAACGAACAAAACACATCAGAGAGAAAAATAATAATCAAATCTTACACAGGAATAACATTTTAACCAATCAATCCTAAGATTTCCTAGTGAAATGTAAATCATAAGCTTATAAAAAAATAAAACCTGTCGAAAGGATGACCGCGAGAGCTGCTGTAGTGGCGGAAGATGCCAACGGCGGAGGATAGAGGCGTCTGAGGAGCTGCGGGAGATTGAAGTCTGTTGACAGGACGCACTCGACTGCTGAACTGGCGGACGGTGGTGGCTGACCTGGAGGTGGCGGTGGCGCCGGCGAATATTATAGGAAGAGCTGCGTAAAGTGGACAGATATAGTTGATGGACCTAGATGCGATGGAACTGGCGGATCTTGCACAGGCGATTTGGTTCATCGTGTAGCTGTGTAATTCGGAAATTCATACCGGAAAAACATGAGTTTTGATCATCTTTTAGACTTACCCTCCCTTTAGATGATTGACTAAGGTTCTGAAAATCAACTACAACATGAGCACAAGTCAATATAGTACCATCAAACCAAAAGTAATAACGCAAGTACAACAGCCGACATGCAAAATTATATAGAACAAACTCTAAACCTAAATTTCAATTAAAAAAACAATGCTAAAAATCTGGAGGTGTACAAAGTATTTATAACAATCAAAATTTAGGGTTGTATTTTTCTCTAGGGTTTGTATATAGTGTGGATTAAACAAAAATCATAAAAGCTCATAAATTTAAAGAAAATCGGTCAGAAATTTATATAAGCTAACCGAAAACGAATTTACATAAATTAATCGGTCTAGTTTTTTTTCCATTAAGGGCAAAAAGCGCTAACCCCTCTGAGAAGAGCTGTGGTGCGTTTCTCACTTCACAAATAATAATATAGATTAAAAAACTAAACCAATGAAATATAGACATATGACTATTTAAGGTAAGAACGGATTTTCAAATCTCTTAAATAAGAACTGTTTCTTCTTCTCTCTCTTTTTTTTCATTATTTTTTATTTTTTAAATTCTTAGATACCCATTTAAGAAACTGGCGATGGAGCTGCTTTTATATCTCTTTCTGATACTAACTTTTTCTAGCTTATTAATTATTTCTCGTGATTGGTCTAACTCTGATGGAGATTACTATTGAAACTGAAATTTTAAAAAACTTTGTGAATATTTTAAAATTTAATGTTATTCAACTAATGATTTCTAAATGTCTTACCAATATCTATGTTATTGAACATAAAATTTCTATAAAACCAATTTAAAATCACTTAAACTTCCATGTTATTCAACTAATGATTTTTTCTCGTGATTGGTGAAACTGAAATTTTAAAAGACTTTGTGGTTATTTTAGAATTTCATGTTATTCAATTAATGATTTCTAAATGTCTTACCAATATCTATGTTATTGAACATAAAATTTCTATAAAACCAATTAAAATCACTTAAACTTCCATGTTATTCAATCAATAATTTGTAAAAACAAAATCAGCTCCATTGTTACTAGAAATATTTTAACTAGTGGATTTTAGAAAATATTGAATATTTTTTAATGATTTGGTAAAGTTTGTTAATTAAAAATATAATAAATCAAATCTTACTGGGATTTCATATAATTTTAATATTAGATCATATCAACTTCTCGAATCAACATAAAATATATCAGCCAATCGTTTTTAACTCTACTTAAGGCCTCGAGATTATCTCAATCGACCGACCAATCAACCCAAGTCAATTTCAACTCATCAATCATATGGTCCAACAACACAAGTCAAGTTCCACTAATCAATCATCATAGCCAATCGATCAATCAGCATATCCAACTAAAAGAATTAAGTTGCAGCAAAAATGGAAAATTTTCATTTTTTGCAGTTATCGCCATCAACCACACATATTCACCTAGTCGGCCCTTAGAGTTATATAAACTACAGAGAAACAAAAAAACATCATCACCATTCTAGAAAAACCACCATTAAAAATTTCATTGTTTTTCATTGATTTTGGTTTGAGAATTTGCTACTTTATACTTTAGAAAATTATTTTATCATTTTATCATCACCGAAAGGTTATTTTCTGAACCTCATTCTCTTTTATTCATCAGTAATAATATATGGGGTTACTTAAATAATCTCATGAGAAACACTTTTGGAGAAACAATGTTTCCTTGGTAACTTAAATAATCTCAAAGTGATATTCTTTTACTTTCAGATATTTTATATCATGTATTCTATTTGTGATTGTCATTTCTAGTTTTTTTTTTTAAAATCAAAATATCATGAATCAATTTTTCTTACTGAAACTTTTAATAAAACATAAATTAAATAAAATTTTTGATAAAATATAAAAAAAAATAGAGATAAGAGATTTTAGATCTGATACCAAATGATATAAAATGAAAGGGATGATCGCATAACTCTTTCTACTTACTCACAAGATAGTTCAAGTGGGGCGGTTGTAGGATCAAATCTGCTGGTTTCAGAACTCTTTCAGGCTGGATTGGGGGATAAAATGAATAGATGGGGAATTGAAGAAAGCCACTCAAAGAAGTAAGACGCATAAGAATGATGTTTTGGGGTGGTTTCAGGTTTATGGTGGGTCAAATTCCAATAAGATTATGCAGAAACCACACAGATAAAGGCGTAGCCTACCCAAGGTTACAACCTTTGAGTTTAATAGCTAGTCTATGGAACGATGAGAGTTGGACTACATGTGGTGGGCGTGAGAAGATTGATTGGTCTTAGGGTCCATTTGTGGCATCCTTTGGTGATTACAAGATAGATGCATGTGTTTGGAAAGGCAGCACAAGATCATGTAATGAAGAGAGCAATGCAAATTGGTGGAACAAGAATGAGTTTAGTTCTTTGACAAGAGTGCAAAAGAGAGATGGTTTAAATGGGTGAGGAAGTACCACTTGATATATGATTATTGCCCAGATTATGCAAGGTTCCATAACAACCTCCCCAAGAATTGTTCTCTTCCTAGATATTGACTTTGCAATTTCTCTTCAGCTCTAGGTATTTACCCGCGCAATGCTGCAATATATATTTTTTAAAACTTATATATATTTTAATATAATAAAATTATTTTATAATGTAAATAAATATTATATTTAGTTTTTATTATCTTGAGTTATGTATTTATATGTTTTAAATCTGAATAAAGATTGTATATCTTCAATTTTTTTATTCAGATTATAATTTGCTATCAAATTTGTTTAACTAATTAACTATAAATGTATATGTAAGAATATAGTAATACATTTTTAAGTATCTTCATGCTAATGACAAATATAATTTATTTTCTCCACTAAATTGTCACTTGATCCTCTCTTTGTAATTATATAAAGCAAAATACAACTTTAGAAAAAGATTAATTAAATAAATCAAAAATCAAAAAATTATACTTTTACGTTAAAAAATTCATTTTTTCGCGAAAACTGATCAGAAATCGCATATTCCCATCAAAACCAAGAAATTTCATTTTCTCGTCAAACCAGTAATTACGTTTTCTTACCAAAACCGAGAATATACATTTTCCCGCGAAAAATTGTGTTTTCCTATAAAAACCAAGAAATCGCATTATCCGTCAATAACTGAAAATTTACATTTCCATCAAAACTGAGAAATTGCTTATTCCTGCCAAAACTGAGAAATTTTGTTTTTCTATCAAAACGAGGAATTGCATTTTTTTTGCCAAAATCGTGAATTTTCTCATGAAGACTAAAAATTGCATTTTCCTGTGAAACCCAAGAAATCACATTATCCATCAAATATTGAAAATCTGCTTTTCCTATCAAAACCGAGAAATTGTATTTTTTCGTCAAATATCGAAAAATTACATTTCCCATCAAAAACGAGAAATCACATTTTTCCGTCAAAACCAAGATTGTGTTTTTCCACCAAACCCGAGAAATCACATTTTCTCATCATAACTGAAAAATTCTGTTTTCCCACAAAAACTGAAAATTGCAATTTCTCACCAAAACTGAGAAAACCCCAATTTCTGTTAAAACCGAGAAAACTCCAATTGCCACCAAGACCGAGAAATCCCATACTCCCGCCAAAACCGAGAAAATTTGTTTTCTCATCGAACCGAAAATCATGTTTTTCTAACAAAACTTAGAAATTGCAAATTTCTGCCAAATCGTCAAATTGCATTTTCTCGCAAAAACTGTAATATTGTATTTTCTTGCGAAATCGCATTATCCATCAAAAACAGAAAGATTGCATTGCCCATCAAAACTGAGAATTCGCATTTCCTATCAAAACCGAGATATTTTGTTTTTCCTTCATAACCTAGAAATTTTGTTTCCTGCCAAAACTGAGAAAATTTATTTTTCCATCAAACCGAGAGATCATATTTTTTCGTCAAAACCAAAAAAATTTATTTTCGCACCAAAACACAGAACTCTCATTTTTCCATCAAAACCGAGAATTTTTATTTTTCCAAGAATTTTTGTTTTCCTGTTCAAACCATGAAATTTTGCTTTCACGTCAAAACCGAAAAACTGAGCGAAGACCAAGCAAAAAACAGAGGTAATTCTGGCGTTTCTGATGTCAATGGCCCTGAGATTGAGGTTTCACGAATGAATGGGAGGAAGCCCGAGCTGCAAAAGTGGAGACAAAGTAGCAGAATAATTAAAACCATGAGCGATGGAAAGCTCTCATGTGAAGCTTAGCGACGGAGAATAATCGAAAAGTTATTGATTTGTTCTCGGTAACCACCGGATATGCGAATTTCCAAGCTGTGGTGGTCTGAACTTCTCCTCCTTTGTTTTCAACCTATATTATATGTAAACTTTAGGCTTTTTAATAGGTCAGCAAAATATTAAATTGATTTTATTATTATGTTGATGATATATATTATGATTATATTATTATTGGTTCAAATTTTGCTGATGTGTGATTAAAAAAAAATCTGAAATTGAAACAGCTAGATTCCATTTATAAATGCAAAGGTAGAAGCGTGAAGCTTACTTACCATGAAGAAGGAAGAAAGAGATCGATGAAGACCAATGTTTCTCTCTCTAGAGACACAAGGGTTATTAGTGTGTTGAATCATTCAGAACCTATAATAATCGTATAAATATGTTTATTTTTTGTTGTATCTATGCTTCTTCTATATACTAATATAAGTATCTAATAAATTATGTATCAATATAAATATTTGTTTTCAACTATTAAAAAATTATAGAAATTTACAAATTTTTTTTTTGCATATGTTCACTTAATGAAGTAATGATGACGTGCTTACGTTCTTCCATATAACATCGAAATCAACTTGGGATATAAGATCAAGAGTATAATCTTATATGACTGATATGATGGAGACTAAGTAGCTGGTAAAACAGCCCTTCTACTTAGGTCTTGTATGACCAAAAGATGGATTAATGGGATAGATATCAAGTGACTGGTTAGACAACTCTCTTCACTAGAACTAAAGAATGATATGGCGTGAACAATGGATCGAATGCAACCAAGCAGCTGATGAAAAAGCTTTGATAAGTCGGTTTCGAGAATAAAAGGGTAACCTCTCAATGCTCAAGAACTCGGTAACGGCTCAAATAGAAGAAAGTTTTACTTTATTGATAATAGGTAAAAAACATGAATTACATAGCCGCATGAAGAAGTTTATTAATAACTCTTCAACTTTGACTTTTTATAGTCAAATTAAAATAAAAACAAAAACCAAAATTACAAAAAATAAAATAAAACATACAAGATACTTAGTCTAGAATGTTCAAAAAAACAAAAAAAAAATCTCTATAAAACGAAAAAGATACAATGAGAAAGTAATAACTCAAAGATTTAGCGTTGCCTCTTACGTGTATCTCCCATTATGGCAAGTCCTTTGTTACCACGTCTTCTTTAAGCTTGATCGTTTTAAGCTGATGGGATTATGAGCAATATTGGGTCGAGATCAGTCTCGATAAGAGGCCATTCTCTTAGGCTAGAATCTTGCCTAGGCTTGAGAAGGCTTTGAACATCTTGGAATTTATCTAAGATTCGGCCCATACGTTTGTTCGGTCCATCGAGTAGCCATCCCGCAATGCATCCCATAACGTGTCATGTAATGCCTTTGTCTGCGGTACGGGGTTCGCTCGTAATGACGTAATGTCACCCTCTGTGATACGACTGTCCTAATCTCATGTTATATTGAGCCGATTAAGCATGTTGGTGAGGCTGTCCTTCTCTTTTAGGTTGATGAGGTTTTCTACGGCTTTGTTGACTTCTTCGCTTATGGTTCTTGTATCGGACCGGGTCTTTGGTGGTTCATACATGATGGGTACCTTGGTGCTTTTAAGCATGTCTGCATTGAGGTTCTCATCATTCCCTCCTTCTTGAAGAGTTTCTGACCTCAGAACCGTTTCTTCTGCATCAAACAGGGCTAAGTCAGTAATATTAAAGCTAGAGGAAATTTTCATTTTACCTGGAAGTTCTAAACGGTATGCATTATTGTTGATGTGCTTCAAGTCTTTGAAAGGTCTGTCTCCTCTAGGGGCCAGCTTCCTCTTCCTCTGGTTTGGGAACCAATCCGGCCTCATATGTTATCAAACCCAATCGCCGGGCTCTCAGATTACCTCTTTTCGTTTCTTATCAAAGTTTTACTTGGTTTGGTATGCCTTCTTCTCCAAGTTCTCCTTAGATTTCTCGTGAAGCTTCTTGATCACGCCAGCTTTGTTTACACCATCTTAACTAGCTCTCTTGGCTGGAGGCAAAGGCACAAGGTCTAGTGGGGTAGTACACAATCTCAAATGATGAAAGTTTAGTAGCAGAGTGGGTAGCTTGGTTGTAAGTGAATTCAACAAATGGAATACCATCAAGCCAAATTCCTTAAGATTTTATCGGTTGTGGCTCTTAAAAGAGCTGAAAGATTGAGATTGACCACCTTGGTTTGGCCATCAGTATGAGGATGGCACGTTGATGATAAGAGGAGCTCTGTTCCTAGCTTCCTCCAAAGTCTCCTCTAGAAA